TCCAAACCACACAGACACAGAACCAACAAGTAAACTCTCAATGGTGCAGCGATAAAAGTTAAGCAGAATCTTAGAGTTAGTGGTAAATTCTCTAAGTTTACGCAGAAAGTAGAGACGCTGACGAGCTTTCTTAACGACTCGGTCAGTGTTTTTAACCCATTTCAGGTCATTAGACAGAGTTAAACCCAGAAACTTGCACTCCTCTACGATCTGCACCTGGGAGTTGTCGATTACGACAGGCAAATGAGAACTATTGCGACTGAAGTCGTAGACCAGTTCACATGTTTTCGATGCGTTCAACTGGAGGTTGTTAGTTTTACTCCACTGAACCACATTTTGTATCTCTGCTCTATAAGAGGATTCATCATTGTCACTGATGAGACCGATGATGGTGGTGTCATCAGCATATTTGATGATCAAGTTTGAGTCAGAGGAGGACACACAATCGTGAGTGTACAAAGTAAAAAGCAAAGGACTCAAAATACATCCCTGAGGAGAACCAGTGCTCACAGAAACAACATCAGAAAAACAGTCATTGATTTTCACTCTCTGAGATCTGTCAGTTATAAAGCTAAAAATCCATTTACACATGGCAACACTTAAACCGAGAGACATGAGCTTTTCAATCAGTTTACCTGGGACAAGGCAGTTAAAAGCAGAGCTATAATCGATGAAAAGCATTCTCGCGACAGATTTACTAGTGTCCAAGTGACTGTAGACAGAGTTCAGAGCAAAGAAGATGGCATCCTCCACACTCCTGTTCTGTCTGTAAGCAAACTGGAGCGGGTCAACACTCACAGGGATCTGGCTCTTAATGAAGTCCAGCACAAGCCGCTCAAAAGTCTTCATAAGAACAGACGTGAGGGCCACAGGACGATAGTCATTCAGGCATGTCACAGGAGTTTTCTTAGGAACTGGAATGATGGTCGACTCTTTAAAGCAGTTCGGCACAGTACAGTTCCTTAGCGACAGGTTGAAAATGTCTGTTAGCACAGGGGCAAGTTGCTCAGAGCACAGTTTCAGGACACGAGGAGGGATGCCGTCCGGGCCTGGGGCTTTCCGGACTGTGGTCCTGGACAAGACACGCCTGACTTCCTCCTGAGTCACGGTGAAGGTACCTTGATTGAAACACTCAGGGAATACAGTAGGACAGGCATCAGCGGATTCAAAGCGACAGTAGAACGTGTTCAGCTCGTTTGGCAGAGCTTGGCCGACAGATGCAATTTTCCCAGCGCTAGGTTTCCATGATGTGATGGCTTTAATACCGTTCCACATGCGCCGAGGGTCATCTTCCTCAAAATAACTCTTTAACCTGTCCCCGTAACTGCGCTTTGCAGATTTAATAGAACGTTTCAATGAGTAACAGGATAGCTTATAAGCAACTGTATCATTTGATTGAAACGCCAACGCACGCTCATGAAGTTTCAGTTTCACTTCCGCGTTCATCCAAGGGTTTTGACTAAAATGTTCTTTAATGACCTTCTGTGGGACACAGCCGTCACTACAGAAGCGTATGTATCCAGACACAGCGTCACAGAATTCATTGACGTCCTCTGACTGAAACACAGACCAGTCCGTAGCATCAAAACAACCTTGTAGCTTTGTTGTGCACCAATAAGCACAAACCATTCATTTGAATACGGCGCCATCTTGGATCGACGGGGCTTTGCAACACTTGTTGTTACATTAGTTCTTGGTGTTTAAGCTTTTAACATAATAATTACAGATAATTACAGTGCCCACATAAATAAAAAATCACTCGTAAAGAGCCTCAGTTCCTTTCCTTGAGCAGCAGATCCTGCGAGTAGAGCTGCACCTCGACCATCGAAGTGTGTATTAAAGGTAAAGGTGCACTTTATTTATCCCCGTAGGGCATTCGACCCATCCTGATGCCACTATGGCATCTATCAGGAGTCCGGGAACCTCTTCTGGAGAGACAAGAAGCAAAAGATTGCTTACTTCCATTTATCACTGTTTGAAAATGAGGATGACAGATAGACAACAACCATTTTTGAACTTCCCAAAGGTTTTGGGGCCCATCATTGCATTTATGAAACAGAATACAAGCAGAAGTCAAACTGGACACAGAAACCAGACGATGTAAAAGAGACAAGAACAGTACATAAAACATGATGAATTGTTTTTTTTTTATGAATGTCTGGTGCACCAAAGCAGTGGTGGATGTAAAACATGTATGGAGAGTTTGTATCGAAGACCTCAGTGTCTCCGTGTCATCGGTCACTCAACAAAACAGAACTGAATTATGTCAATTCCAAAGATAAATTCCTCCACAGCTGAGCCCTATGAAAGCTATGATATAGTTTTCTAGTCCTTGCACTGCCTTTTTCCACTGTTCTGCTTTGACTATAAGCTGAATATTTCCATTAACCTTGGAAATAAAAGCAGTATCTCATTTTCCCATAGCTTCACACCTATTTCCTAGATAATGACCTCGTATGGACAGACTATGTGTGTAACTGTTCGTACACACCTCTCTCCTGGTGAGGTGTGAAGTGGAACAGAGTCCTGGTAATGAAGAAGACGGTGCTGTGTAATTATGGGGCTGAAGAGGATTACCCGTTTACTTAACCACTAATAGTTCACCTTGAAGTGCAAATTCTAAGGGGATAAAACACACACACGCTCCCTTGCCCCCTATTTGCGTTAACAGAACCTCACGTTGTTCAAAGTAAAATGTACATTTCCTGGTCCATTTCTGTCACTACTTTGGATAATGAACTGTGGCAGAGCAGCATAGGGTATTTAAGTCCATGTATTAGGGAGAAATCCGCAGACACCAAAGCACTTTGTGAGGTTCCGGGATCTTGGGGTGAATTCAAAATGAGTCGTATATTTTCTCCATCAAAAATTCAATGCTGCAGCTACGGTATGGTATAGTGTAATTTTTTTTTTTACAAGGGCTGTGTACAATAAACATTAGCCAAGAGGAGAGATGCATTGTGCTAGGATGTAGCAGCAGTGCTAATTTACACCTGTAGTCCCGGAGCAGGTACATTTAGCAAACAAAAATTCCAATTTATTTGAACATACAAGTTATAATAAAACACCCAGTACCCCCTTTCTTTCTATGCATACATTGCTATATAGCTAATGGGGCAATTCATGAATAATGTAAAATCCCTATAATGTATCAACATAAAAATATAACCGTTGAAGAATCTTTATAATGAGATTGATCATGGCACTATTTTGCTACTAATACCAGCTCATTACTTACCTTCTTTGCATATTAACAATCAGTTTTAAAGGTGAAAATATTTTCAATTCTGTAATAAAAATATTGAGGAATTACATCCATCACATTAACCATTTTCAATCACCTCAACTGCATTCCCTTTTCAAATATATCTTTACGAAAAAGCACAATTTTAATTTCTCTCCCCCGTTACCAAAGATACCCCCCCATGTTGGAGGTATGTCACTCAGCCGAAAACACAATAATCGCAAAGGCAACTTTTTGAAGCAGAGTTCTATGGCGCGCTCAGCAAGCAGCAGTGCTCATTGTAGAACTGAAATCACTGCCTTTTGAACAAGAATGTGCAGGTGCCATAGAAATGTATGGCATCTCAAGCTCGCTGGATTTCAACTAAATGGAAATGCAAAGTCGGCACATTTTGTCAGAGTGAAAGCATTGACAATTGTATGGTAATGTTGGAGAATTGTGGGCTGAGCTGATGGTACAGATAATTGAATAACTGCTTAAGTAAGTAGACGGTGATACACATGATGACTGTCCTAAACGTATTTTGGTAAAGGTGCACTTTATTAATCTCGTAGGGCAATTCATCCTCTGCATTTGACCCATCCTGATGCCGCTAAGGCTTACGTCAGGAGCAGTGGTCGCCGTAGTAACAGCGTCTGGGAACCCATCTCCAGATGTTGAAGCTCGGCTTGGGCAGGACTACCAGAGCTGGAGGATTTTACCTTGTGTGCATGTTTTTAGTGGTATAGGGGAAACTGGAGCACCACGGGGCGAACATGCAAACTCCACTAAGCTTATCATTGAACAAGCATGACACTTTGATTTAGTAAAAAAAAAAAGAATAAAACATTACAGGCGATTACTCAATTGGAATGAGGAAACATTGAATGAAGTGTTTGAATGAAAAAATAATAGTGAGTTTGGCAAATGCTCATTTTAAAACAGTAACATTATACACATTGTAAACACATTTACTGTGGTCACCTTTTCACCTATGATTGTGCAATTTTAGATATGATACAGCTTCAATTTTATTCTCCAACAAACACATACACAACATCATATACTGTAAATGACAGTACAACAGATGGTAACCTTAAATTATTTAAATTAGGTTTCTTCTGAATTATTTAAATTCAGAAGAAACTTTTTTGGCTTGTCTGCACAGCTGTGATTAGTCAGAGGACTACTTTGGTCTTTCTGTTGTGTCTTCTGCAGCTGGATTGTACAGTATATGCTTTTGACAGCTGCAGTAGCGCTCAGACCTACAATACACTTCTCCACGGTCGCACATCAGCAGTCGTGAGTTTAGGTAGTTAGAAGAAAGGTGTAGAAAGTGTCCGGTACATATAGCTGCGACTTCACTGATTTCCCTTTACGTGTTTTTAGAATTCAATCCTTGTGATAAAGTAGGAACCACTTTATACACATTGAAATAAAACTAAAAACTGATTGTTTGTGGTGTAAGCTTTGCATAGCATGTTTTATTTGTCGTCTCAAAAGCAGGTCAGGTGTTCTTCAGAAATGTTTGGGCAGGAATCAATGTGAGAAAACAAAGAATGTCTGAGGCACTTGTGCAAGCTGAATATCTCAGGTTTATTGTGCGTTTCAATGGTTATGTCTTCATCAGAAGTATGTCTAGGATGATTTTTTACCAATAGACACTTTTTCTTCTTTGTTCCTTTGTATGGCAGTACGTATCCTGCAGAAAGCCATTCAGCTCCTCTTGAAAAAGCTTTAGGCCAGATGAGCAGAGGCTGATAACTGTATGATAACCATGCCTTCTTCTACAGGGACCACCGTGATGAGGATGACGGCGTTTGATGCTGACGACCCTGCTACAGATAATGCTGCTTTACGCTACAACATCATCAGACAGTCGCCCGACAAACCCTCTCCAAACATGTTCTACATCGACCCAGAGAGCGGAGACATCGTGACCGTCATCTCTGCCAAGCTGCTCGACAGAGAGGTAGGCAAACACCCGGATCACTGCTGGCTTTGCAGAAAGTATTTCTGGATTATGTCATTAGCATCTGGTGTTTTGGGCTTTCAAAACAAAGTGACCCAGCTGACATCTGGAAAGTGATAGAATACAGATTTGACACAAAGCAACTGGCTTTTATATTATTATGCTAAATAGTAAGTAAGTGAGTGAAATCCTTTGCCTAGTAACTCAAGAATGAGTATGATTTAAAACCTCCGTGGGATGAGGATGCAGATTTCCATTAAGCCTTCTTCTTTTACTTTGTTCTGAATACATTCCTTTGTTTGATTAATAAAGATTAATACAATTATACATTTTGACAGAGTAATCCCATAGATTTAGCTTAATCTGTTATCTATTTTTGTGGTATAGTTTCCATTTCTTTCTTCCTTGAAATCAGACTTTTGTTTTTAACAGATCCTAATTGACCACTCCACCTGTCAATCATTTCTATAAATAGCTAAACAAACCTGGAAAGAGAGGAAAAGACTGGAAAGAGACTGCGATATTGATAGAAAATTGAGTTACTAGAGATAGGACTTGACGAACAAATGAAAACAATGTTAATCAGGAATTCTGGAACAAAATTTAATGGAAACACCTTTATTTTCCTTTTTTTTTTTTCACAGTTTTCACACTTTGCTTTTAACCGGTGTGATTTCATGTTGGATTCGTGTGAAAGTTTTAATTAACACAAATCCAACCTGAAATTACACTTTGTACACTAAAAGTATAAGTTGCAGTGGTGTTTTAATTGGGGTTATACTGCAGCAGCGAAGCCCACTGCGAGCGTACATTTCAGATCCTTTCCAAACGCTCTGAGACAACGGCATGATTGCTTTTCACAAGTGTGACCAATGCCAGAACATTGATTGGGCCCGCTGCTGGAAGGGGAGCATTAGCTGTTGTCAGACACTTAGCGTGCAGTTTAATTGAGCTGATACACGCTCATGCGCAGATACTGGTGTCCAACAAGTCGTCCCACAGAAACCCACCATCCGGAACCGAGCATGGCCTCTGCACGGCCGGATGAGCAGCGACGCATGCACTAGTGTTCAACAGAGGCGTAATTGATTTGAAATGAGATGTCATCAGTGCTGAGAATGTTGACATGACAGTCCGACTGTCTGCTTTAAATATGGTCAAAAGAAAGACTTCAAAAGTGTCAGGTTCTTGTAATTTCTTCTGGACAAAATGAGTCGAAGGCTGGGATTGAACAAAAACCAAACCATCATCAAAGGTATTAGGCTTGCTGTTGTAGACGGAAGTACTAAATCTTATTATTCGTACAAATCAAATTATCACTAATTCATATGGGCTCAGTGTTTGGAGTAAAGTATACTGTATCATGGTATTCTATATGAATGTCTCGTCATCAATGCGTAGAAACAATCAAAATCAGACCTTGTGCCTAGGGGCCTTGTGGGTAGAGCAGGCAGATCAGAAAAATAACTAATAAAGCATTGCCATACCTGGAAAAATTTGTCAGTGTGTCCTCTTAAAGTGTATTTTATCTTTTCAAGTTTTAGGAAACCCATGACATCTTTTAGCCATTGGGAAAAAGGGGGACATTTTGCATATTTCCAATGAAGCAATATTAATTGTCTTGCAATTAGAGACGTAAAGGAGATAATATCTCTTTGCATAGAGGTCAAAGCAACTGAATCAGTTATACCAAATATGGCAATCAGAGGACTGGACCCTAAGTTTAAACCCACAACTTTTCCCATAGTAGTGAAATAACTAGACCAAAAACTGTAAAGGCAGGGACATTGGAAAAACATATGACTAAGATGACAAGAAGAACCTTTACATCTATTACATTTGTCTTCAGTTTCAGGAAATATTTCAGAAAGTCTTGACTTAGAGAAGTGTACCCTGTATAAAACTTTAAATTGTATCAGACTGAGCCGAGCACATGAGATAGTTCGTATTCTGTCAATAGCTTTGTCCCAAAGATCCCCATTTATAACAATCCCCAACTCCATTTCCCATGCATTTTTAATTTTCAAACTGGATTGATCATTTGCAGATAGTATAAAATCATATAATTTGGAGATATATCCTTTTTTATGTATATTGAATGAAAACACAATTTCCCAGGGCTGCTCTCGAGGAGCAGTGGGAAAGTTAGGAAATAAATTTGAAACAAAGCTACGAATCTGAAAATAGCAAAATAAGTGACTTCCAGGTAAAGCATGTTTGGCAGAAAGATTAGCAAAACTATCAAATATCCCTGATGTATATAGGTCTTTAATTTGCCTGATACCCTTATCATACCAAATAGAATAGCTGGAATCAGATAGCGATGGTGGAAATAAGTGATTGTTGTTCAATGGACCCAGTGTAGAGGCTGATGTGTTCCCAAAACCACGTCTAAACTGATTCCAAATCTTAAGTGTGTCCAGTACCACTTTGTTGTTAGTATACAAGGATAGTTTTGTAGGAATAGAGGAAAAAATCAAAGCTGAAAGAGATGAACCTTCACATGATAAGTGTTCTAGTTTGCACCATAGAGTCGTCGGAGACTTTAGTAAGTAGCATAGTTTATGGATGTGAGCTGCCCAGTAATACGATTGGAAATTGGGCAGTGCAAGTCCGCTGCTAAGTCTACACCTCTGCAACAATGATTTCCGTACTCTAGGAGGTTTCCCATCCCAAATAAAATCACCGATAATCTTGTCTAAAGTGTCAACAAAGTTTCTAGGAAGAAAACTGGGGATAGTCTGAAATAAGAAAAGAAATCTGGGCAAGACATTCATTTTGATCACATTAATCTTGCCAATAAGGGATAATGGGAGATAACGCCATTTCTGAAAGTCTGACTTAATTTTTGTGATGAGAGGGGTATAATTAGCTGAAACCAAAGAGGTAAAAGAACGAGTGATGTTTATACCTAAATATTTAAACCCAGATGGGCTAAATTTAAAAGGAAATTCACTTTGTTGAAGGTTGCAAGCAGCATTGTTGATTGGAAAACATTCACTCTTTTCAAAATTTAATTTATATCCCGAAAAAGAGCCAAAGTTATCGAGGATACTCAAAACAGTTGGAATAGTGGTGGTATAATCAGTTACGTACAGAAGCAAGTCATCAGCATACAATGACAATTTGTATTGAATGTTATTTCGCATTATCCCTTTAAATAATGGAGCAGCTCTTAGTGTGATTGACAGAGGCTCAATTGCAATGGCAAAAAGGAGAGGCGAGAGAGGGCAACCCTGACGTGTCCCGCGACCCAGAGTGAAGTAGTCAGAGTAAATGTTATTGGTATGTACACTAGCCTTGGGTGATGAATATAGGAGACGGATCCATGCAATTAATCTATTGCCAAAGCCAAATTTGGATAAAGCTGAAAACAAATATTCCCACTCCACCCTATCAAAAGCTTTCTCCGCATCAAGCGAAATGACCAATTCAGGAATATCTGATGTATGTTTTGAATAAATAATGTTTAGTAAAGTGCGAGTATTGAAAAATAACTGGCGTGACTTTATAAAGCCATTTTGCTCGGTGGAAACAATGGAAGGAAGTACATTTTCCATACGGGAAGAAATTGCTTTAGCTAGCACCTTAACATCAGAATTTAAAAGTGATAAGGGCCTATAGGACCCACAGAGTGTAGCATCCTTGTCCTTCTTATGAATTAACGTGATTGTGGCTTGTGTGAGCGTGGGTGGCAGATAGCCATTCTCCAGCGATTCATTAAACATGGCCAGAAGCAGTGGTCCCAGTTTCTCAGCAAACTTTTTATAAAATTCAATCGGTATCCCGTCGGGTCCGGGTGCCTTATTTGATTGTAATGCTTTAATTGAGTTTAAAATTTCGATGTTAGTGAGTAGGGAATCCATGCTCTCAGCAATGTCAGGGTCAACCATTGGATTATCAAGGTCACGGAAAAAATCGTCCATTTTGGAGCTGTCTGGGGGAAATTCTGATTTGTATAAGGAAGAATAAAATGATTTAAAGGCGTTATTAATTTCAATAGGGTCAGCAGTAATAGTATCTTCCGCATTTTTTATACTTGATATATTACGTGAAGCATTTTGTCGTTTCAGCTGGTGAGCCAAAAGACGACTAGCCTTATCGCCATGCTCATAATATGTGCCACGGGTTTGTAATATTAAGCGCTCTGCTTCACGAGTGGTTAAAAGGTTAAATTCTGTTTGCAGATCCAAGCGTTGTTTATGAAGTTCTGAGGACGGGTTTATTGCATATCTTTGGTCAATATCGGCAATAGCTGTGGTCAATTCGTTCATCCTAAAATCAGACTTTTTCTTTGATGAGGCATTGTAGTAAATTATTTGGCCCCTAAGATAGCATTTGAGTGTCTCCCATATTAATGAATGTGAAGTAGAAGAAGTTTTGTTAAACAAAAGAAATTCATCAATTGATTTAGAAATGAAATCACAGAATTCCTTATCAGCCAAAAGAAGTGAATTAAACCTCCAACGAGGTGGGGCGTGTCTTTGGGTATCAAAGTGAATGTCTAATAATACTGGCGCATGATCAGATATTGTTATACTCAGATAATCAGATGAGATCACAAATGGGTTTAACGCTCTATCAATTATGAAATAATCGATCCTGGAGAAGGAATGATGAACTTGGGAAAAAAAAGAATATTTCTGACCAGAGGGGTTTAGAGATCTCCATGGGTCAATAAGATCATTATGTTTCATAAAATTGGAGAAAACTTGTGCCATAGCCGATAGAGTTTGAGTGCGTGGATTTGATCGGTCCAAATTTGGACTAATAACACAATTTAGATCAGCAGCAAAAATGATTGAGTGAGTATTCAGAAAGGGGAGGCTGCTCAGTAATCGATTGGCAAAGGCAGGATCATCAAAATTTGGGGCGTATGCATTAATTAACAAAACCTGTTTCCCCATCAAAGTACCAGCAACTATTAAAAATCTACCTTGTTTATCAGCTATAATCTTAGTGGAAAAGAATTGTAAATTTTTATGGATCAAAATGGCAACTCCTCTTGATTTTGAATTAAAGTCAGAATGAAAAATCTGACTCACCCAAGGACAGCGCAATCTGTGATGATTATTATTTCTAAGGTGCGTCTCCTGCAAAAACACTACAGAGGGCTTCTGACGTTTCAGATGCGAGAACACTTTAGATAAATCTGCAAGGTGTGCCAGGCCCGGCCATTTTAGGATTCACGGTGGCACTAGCCATTTGATCAAATAACATAGAGCTGAGACGGCCCCCCTCCCCCCAATTCCCCTAGAAAACAAAAAACACCCAAAGTCCCCCAAAAACTTTCGAACAGTGGAGACAGCAGTGTATTGAGTAAAGAGGAAAAACATGCTCACTTAAAGCAAGCACTTCGGAGTCAAGGAACTATTCTAAAAAGCAAGAAAACAAATAAAATAACTAAGAAAGAGAATGTGAAGGGACTCCCACCAAACACATATCCTAAAATCAAAGTGCGCATTGTAATGGTATTCAAACAGTATCACCAAAGGTAAGATTTAACTTATATGAGCAGCACAAATGTTACATAAATGTATGCACGTAATGGTAAATGTGAATCACGAACTCTCAACGTAAATGAGAAGCTGCATTGTTGATCAGTCTTATATTGAATAGTGAAAAAGGAGTGAAAAAATGTCCAAGAGATGAGGTCATACCGGTGTATCCACAAATTACCCTGTTGTCATGGTCTTCACGTATTGTCCAGCGTCATCAGCGGAGGTGAATTCCTTCTCCGCTCCCCTGTAGGTGATCCGGAGCCGCGCTGGGTAGAACAGACCATACCGGACGCCCTCGATGTTTCGGAGTTGTCGCCTCACGTCATTGAATGCAGCCCGCGCCCGAGCCACACCGTCAGTGTAGTCAGGGAAAACAGATATGGTCATATCACGCACCTTTATCTGTCCCCGCTCTGTCGCTCGGCGTAAAATGTCCACACAGTCGCTGTAGTAGTGAAGCCGACAGACGATAGCTCTGGGACGCGTGCGCTCTCCTGGTGCTGATTGACGAGGAGCGGTTCGATGAGACCGGTCCAGACGGGGCTCGTTGTCCAACCCGAGTGTCTCTTTAAGCAGGGCAGCGACAGCAGTGGTGGTGCAGGTGTTGGGACCCTCGTGGACTCCAACTATCCTTATGTTTTGACGTCTCGATCTGGCCTCGAGATTTTCACATTTGCCTTCCAGCCTGGTTACCGTTGCAGTGAGATGTGCCACAGTAGTTTTTAAATTGGTTATATCATCTGTACATTCAGACAGAGCCGTCTCCATGTCCTCAACTGTGCCTTTCAGTGTAGTCAGTATAGCATCAGTAGCAGCCTTGTTAGCCGCTAGCTGTGCCTGCAAAGCCTGCAACTCAGACCTCACTGGTGTTAGCGCGGGCACAAGGGCATCCTGGAGCTCTTTCTTGATAATTCCAGCAATGTCTTCTTTAAGCGATGATAAAATCTCGAGTTTCAAGACAGCAGTGTCTGCAACATGTCCAGATCCAGACTCGGATAGGGTAGAGCCAGGTTCGCTCGACGCTAGCTGCACATCTGTAGCATCAGTGTTAGCCTGCATGCTAGGAGGTAGCTGCGTCTGGATGGTGGTCCGAGACTTCCTAATTGCGTTCTTTCCAGACATTTAAACGTGACCGTGCGACTCACTTAAGATGAATATGTGCTTCAACTAAGCAACCATGTAAGATTTGTAAATAAAAGCGCAAATAAATGTTACTTTTAATCGTATTCGGCAGGAGCCCGCAATCACACGTCCTACTCCATGTACAGCTCAGCCACGCCCCCTCAAGACTTGTGTTTCCTGTTGTGAAACGCAAAATCACTGAATAAGTTTGGCTACATTTTTGTTCAGATCATTATATTTACTGTTGGCACATTGATCACTGTATGAATATGTTACCATTCATTACTCTCTCAATTTCACTGAAAACTGATTCTTTGTTCTTTCCTGAATACATTTGATTTGGGCTGGGCTTGATTTTTTTGCAATGAATCCTGATATGTAACTTGAGGAAGCTGATGTCACAGGTAGATAGACATTTAACCTTTTTGTGTTACATATCATGCATACTGTGTTTAAGCCTGACATGGTGAAAGGCGAATTAAGATTAGTAATGACACATGCTGCGTCTGAGCATGCCAAACATTACAAATCCAATATCCCCAAGGATTTTGAGACTAACATGTGTGCACTTAAATTCTTTAAATGAGTTATTATTGAAATGGTTTATTGATCGCTCCATTCAAACAGTTTAATCTGAAAAAGTCTAAAATATTACCTCTAACAGGAAGTGGATTTGACCATAGACTGTAAATATTAACAGAGGCAGTGATAAAACTTATGTGTCATCACTTTCCCTCCTACCGTCTTTTTTTGAAATGGCTACGAGTGGCCCCTCCTACAGGAAAATGTGAAAAAACACATTTGCGTTTGTGTTAGCCAACACGAGTACCATTCTTTTAAAGAGTGCATTCTGAAGTCCACACAGGCTAAACTAGGCTCGTCCAAAAAAATGACTTTCGGACAATTCTGTGTACGTTTTTGAGAGGAAAAAAGGTAGCGTTAGATTGCGTTGGATAATTCTGTTTCCAGTACGCCACCACCGGCAAGAAGTGCGATTAAAAGCATGTCAGCGCACCCCCCACTAGTTATGACAATCTGTTTTCATTGTCTATGGGACAATGAACAGGCATATTAGAAACATGAACGTAAATAGGCCAGATTATAGCCAAAGGATTGTGTAATTCATACAATCCTTTGGCTATAATCTGGCATATTTAGTTACCTCCTTAGCTTCCCCTACGGTTTAGACCAAGACATTACAAAATAGTTGAAAATATATATTGAAAAGTTTGTTGGTGTTGAGTCTTTCGTTACACTTGAGTTGGAGTTTTTTTTTTTTTTTTTTTTTTTTTTTTTTTTTAAAGTTTATTATATATTTATTTAAACAATGTTACACAAATAACAGTAAATATAAAGTGGCAATCATTAAAATAGTCTTCTGTATGTATGTATATGGTAACTATTTAGGATGTTCCTGATAAATAAATACCTTCTTTTAATAGTTTATTTTCCTCTGTTATCAATCGGAGTTGTTCCTCGAGTAAAGCGCAGTTACTACACCCCTTGTGTGGTTTAGTAGATGGGGCTCTGAGACTTCCTGCTGGTGCCTTCAAAGTCCGCACCCGGCTGCTTGGTTCACAAATGGCTGTAGCAGTAGATGCAGCGTAGTGTTTTGGCGGTTTTGCAGGTAAAGTTCTCTGGTTTTGTGTTGGAGGCTTCAGGTTGTTGGCTTTAGAGTCTGAGGAGGAGGCTGCAGAAGTGTTGGATGAAAGATCCATCTTCTTCTTCTTTGCTGCTGGCATGACATCAGTTTTGGGTAAAGGATGTTTTCTTGGTGATGACGATGTTTTAGCCACAGGGTGAGGACCTCCAGCAGGTTTGTCAGCGCCTGAGAGAGCTGAGTGGGCGACTTTAGCTTGAGGTGGTTTCAGGCCGTGTCCTGCTCTCTGGAGGCTCGAGGTCACACTGCTCGCCGATGGTTTTCGCAGGCTGGACACTGGCGGCTTTACTCCCAATGCAGCTGCAGCTGTAGATCTCAAATTATACGTGCTGGACAGGACTCTGGTCTGCTGCAGAACGTGTGCAGTGTTGGCCTTCATGGGACGGCCCAGATTGGGTATGGATCCTGGCTTGAACATTCGCGATGGGGGCTTCATGTTGGGGAGGTTATGCGGCTGGGGCAAAAAAGTCTTCCTGTCACTCACAATATTTGAAGGAATATCTGCTGCGGCCTGAGGAGTGAGTTTATTGGGTCCTTCTCCATAAAGCTTCCTCTGAGCAGCTGCGACATTGCTTTCTTCTTCTTCCACAGTGAAATTGAACGGCTTCGTGGGGGTCATTGGTGTTGAAGTGAGCAGGTGAACGGATTCAAAATCTAATGTCTCATTGAGGCTGGAAATGTTTGCTTGAGTTGGAGTTTTAAGTGTGTTTGGAAAGACACTTCACCTGCCTGAGGAAAGCACAAAGCAATCCGGAGAAAATTGGAAAATCCATTTTGTCACATTGAAATCAGTGATTCCGCCTGCAGCGCTGTCTCTGGGGCATAAAATTATGTTCTTGATATGCACATTTATTCCGCCTCTGTGTTTGGACCCGTCACTTTTCCGGGCTCATTCCTGTTTTACATCAGAGAAGACTGATCAATAACATCCTAAGACTAAGAACGCTTTGAGGTTGAGAAGGACTGCAGGTAATGTTTACAGTCATACCGTATTAAGGATGTTAATGGGCTGCAAGATAAATCACTGTTTTCATTATTATAAAATTGTAAGATACAGAATAAAACATACAGTACACTAAAATTGTATCCATGTTTGCCAGACAACTCCCAATATACAGTATGTTACAAGATCATATACATGGGAACTGCCCCACTAAGCGCTTTACCTCTTTTGTGCGCACTATATGATTCAAAAACTCTTACCAGCGTTTGCTTTTGTTTGCTTTTTTGGCCTGGTCGCAATCAGAACTTAAGTGCATAGTAAATACCTAGAATAGAGTTGACGTGCTGTCACAAGCTATTGTATATGGTTATGAATGTCACCTGCCCCGTCTTGCGATCCTGGCATAAACCCCCTGCTCAGCTACACCTGTGGGTACAGTAGGTTGTGCGCCCCTCCTTCTCTTTGAGAGGCTGCTGCTGATTGAATGCCTTTCTCAGGTGTCCTTCAAAGCCAAAGTCTGTCGTGTTCTTTTTCTTCCCTTTCTTTTATTGCTCTCCATTTTGATTGCAAATCGGCACATAACAATGACCAGTACAGTAAATACATTGATTAATGGAGGCCTTTATTATTCCTCCAGTGGGGAATTACATTATAGAAGAGTTAAATCATACAAAATATCACCCGAAGGCAGTCTCCGAAGAAGTATTATTTTTGCGGACGTAAATGTTATATGTACATTTTAAGACACGATTGATAAATCATCAAGATGTCTGTATTAGTTGCTTTGGAGATTTGCAAAGTAGGATTCTGATTCTTTTTCCCTTAAAGGCTTTTTATTTGTACGGTTTCTTGCCATATTTTATTTATCAAAGCTGTGAATCAAGTTTGTAAAAACATATCATCACCTGAAAAGCTACATAGATATATGAAAACAGACTTTAACACCTAATTTGCTCTGCTGAGAAGTTTAATTGGAGAGGAAACACACTCGCTGCTTTGACGAATGAGTCAGAAGCTGCAGTGAGGGTGCTTGCCCTTCTCGCCGTGTGAAAGCCAAACATATGGTGCTATCAAAGTGTGAGTGGTCTGCGCCTGCTGGAGGAAGTCACGCCTTCACAGAAACGCCAACCATTTCATCCTTCTGACAACTATAGAAACAAATTATTCCGATTACTTTTTTCTACATCCATAGTTTTGCACTCGGCTGCACATTCATGCCGCACTGTGACTCACACTCATGGGAGGGAAGCTGATTTTCTAATGTTTCCTTTTCAACAAGATGTGATTCATATTGTGCCAGTATTTAGGTATTTGAAGGTGTGTGACTAGAAAAAACATTACTCTGAACAAATAACTTTTCTAGCAGTGAGACCTGTGTTACAGTAGAATCAGCAAAGCCATTGTCCTAAGCACCTGAAAATCTAAATCATAAAGCCAGTCTAGAAGTTTGGAATGCACATTTACTGCTCAAAGATTTAAGCCTTTACTGATTTCTACTAATGGTTGTATTTATTTCGTTGTTGAATAATTGATAAGATTGCTGAGTGCTCCCCTTTCCTACTGTCTGTAACTTGTGTAACACTTAAATTCCCCAAGAAAGGATCCCTTAATCTTCATCTTAATAACATAATTAAAACAAAAAGTCTTATGAAATATCCATAATTATATTGAAGAGACACAGATTCATATCACGTAAGCTTGGTCTGCTGACGCTTTACTGACATTTTCAAAGTGAAGAAGGCTGGGTTGTAGGGATAAGCTGTGTAGCGGTCATTTTCTCCGGCGTCGCACACATAGAGCAGTCATTGTGTCATCAGTGGTGAGTGCGTGGACGGTGTGTGTAAGCGGAGAGGACAGGCGCTAATGGCACACTGACTTTGTGACTGGGTAATGCTCTGTGGCCAATCTGGAAGCTGTCAGAGCAGAGGACGGCCAATCGATGGACCCCGCCATTTCCACGCGCTGCGCAGAAGCAAAATGGACGCCTCTTTCAGTCGTCAGGTGGTCAGCATGCCTCATAACTAGATTTATTTATTTATTTTCAATTACTTTGTTGCGTCATCCTCATTAGTTCACATTACTTTCCCCCCCAAAATACATACAGCATAACGACACACATTTTATTTTATTTTTTTTCCTTTTTTTTCCCCCACTATGCTCCAAAAAAGTAAAGTAAAAAAATAAAAAAATAAAAAATAAAACAACATAAAACCACAAGCAAATAACGTAATAAACAAAATGAAAATAAGTATATAGAAAATTATGACTATTTCTATAGCTGTATATTATCTACCAGTACGGCATCTAAAATATTCATTTTGATGGTGGTTGGAGTTGAGTGAATGTATAATGACTTCAGTGTTGACAGATATATTTTTTTCTTCACGTTTTGACGCCATAAGTGAACAAGTACATTAGAAGAAGAAAAAAAACACACTTTTTGTCCATAGATTTTGTTTTGTTTTTTTCCGACTAAAAGGTTTTAGTTGAAGTTTGACACTTTGACACTGTATTTTGCTCAACCATATAATTTACTTGATGCCCGTATAGCTCTTGACAAGTTGTCACACCTTTTTTTACTTGTATATACCGATATTTTCAAGGTCAGGTGCTAAACTTATTCTGTACGCTACAGAATATGGGAAAAAAATAATGAAAAGAAGAAGATTAGGCTTTAGGAAAAGAGCCTATTTAAGTCACTAGATATTTGTTCTTGGAGTCAGGTTGACCAATACAGGTTTCTGAAACCAGTGTCAATATAGATCTCAACTTGTGTCTATGGAGAATTTTTATGTCATGCAGTGGAAGAACAGATTTAGACGGATACAAAGATGGTGCACCTTCAGACCAGGCTCCACATAGTAAGTATGTAATCTTTATATAGCGCATTTTTACAGTGCTTTACAATGTTCAGAGTTCAGATATTGTTATGTAAATGCAGCTATCCTATGAAGTGGATGGTCTTCTTGCTATGTGTATCATTGGATTATCGTGTACATTAATTGGATATATGTAGCATGGATTAATACTGTCATTGTGAGGGTGCATGGAAACATGTGCCCTGCTGTGCTTTAACAAGTGTGGCCTTCTGTGTGAATTCCATCCCTTCATTCAGTATATCCAGCTCTAAAAGTAAACTCTAACTAGTTATAGATTGTAATGATACATTGTTCTTAACACAGGGAGAACACATGAGTATTGTGACCATGATCTTTGTGAAACACACATAACATGTAAAAAATATAATATCGACCCTCGGAGACTCACGGACAATGAGAGATTCTGATTTTGTTTCTGAAGTGGATTTTTTCATAACACAAAACCTACATTTAGGATGAAACAATAAATAGAGATCATACATATGTTTAATTACATTTAATGTGAACTTTACAATTCAGATTAAATTATACATTTAGATAGAAATTATGTATTTTCACTTCATTACTTTGTCACACCACATTTCAATGCTACTGTATATGTTTTATAGAAAATATATAAATTATTAAGGATGTTTTTATAGAAAGGAAAACATGAATAGATTACTTGATTAATCAAAAGTCATAATTGATACTCCATTACTAAGAAAATTAGTATTTTGCAGCCTGAATCCATGCTGATTATCAGTGACCTTGTAGCCTTTACCATGAGGCCTTTTTTCACGGTGCTTGAACACTTCACCAAAGCGTTTTGCATTTTAGTGCGTCATTCTGCCATAATTCCTTGTCTTGCCATTTATTTCCTGTTTCTGTTGTGCATCGGCACTTCCCCTTTTCTGTCAGCTCTCCTCTGCGGACATCTAATTACTGGCAGGTCATAGAGTAGCAATTCTATTCAGAGCCACGCCATTCAACCAGCCATTCAAATTACATCCTTCAAGAGCCACTGTTTGCACCACACGCCAAAATGTTGTTTCAGAACTGCTTTTTCTCTGAGGTCCTTGCTTAATCTGATCCCACAAATATAATTGAATGTCAGTCGTCACATAAGCAGGCCTCCCTCTCTTCAATTAGCATCTCGTTTCCTGGTGACACAAAGCGGACAAAGAAATATTTACTCCTCCCAGGTAGAAGCCAGTTATTGTATTATGTAATTTATATGCAAATAATATATCAGCGAGAGCAGACTGATAAGATTTCATTACAGCGGATCTGATGCTCACTTCACTTGATAAACTCTTCTTCATTCTCCTATTAAGATGAGGAGATTGGAGAAAAATATGCAGGTAGACTGGTGGGGATGGAGATGAGTGTTTAGCTGTAAGTATAGAAATAGCGCTAAGAACAGGTCTGTAGAGAGGGATCCATCCAAGAGTAGAGACCCAAGAGTTCCACTATTATTGAAAATATCCTCAAGGTTTTGTATGAGTCGGAGCGTCATGTGTGTTCCCAGAAGTAAAAAAAAAACAAAGGCAGATAAACCACAACCATTTTTAGCAGCAACAGATGTTTTATTCTTGGCACTGCGCTTTGTATTTGAACCTGCAAAATCCCCAGCTAAACTTGGGAGGAAGCATCGTGGAGGTGGATTTTAATGAAGTGTGCATTTATAGTTGGAGAAGCGGCAGGATTTGTATATAAACAAAAGGAAGCGGATGTAAAATTACCATAGGATGTGTTTACGACTATGTTTGTCGCAGACTACAGGCTTAGATGGTGCAAGGAGTGTATCTGTGATTGGCACATGATTGAACGTGGAAGCATATTCTGCTCCTGTCAGAATATGGCTGTGAATCATTTGTACATTTTCAATTTATAGATTGATCTAAAACCATGTCATTTAACCGCACATTGAACTTGTTTTCTTCACTTGAGCGTTACAGGTGCATTGAAGGCAAGAAAAGAATATAAACTGTACACAAGTGGGGGTGAATTTTTGTCAGAGTGATGGCACATTGGAGAAAATAAATTACTCAAGTCTGCATAAATCACTCCCAAAAGGACTTTGAATGTTGCATTATTATGTGATTGACATATGCATGTCAATAGCCCTATTCACATAAACATCATGGAAAATTGCCGGGTACGATTAGCGACTTCAGGATGGGTCAAATGCAGAGGATGAATTGTCCTACAGGAACTAATAAAGTGCATCTTTACCTTAACCTTAATATTCATATAAACATAACCAGTAGCAGGAACATGTGATGCTCTTACCAGCTGACAAATGATCAGCTAATAGAGAAAAAAAGAATTTGAGTTGTGTCCAAATGTCCATCTGATTATTACTCAGTGCACTATACAAAACTAACGGAAGCAGACAGAAGAGCCGTTTTCATGCTTCTCAATGTTTTAACGAAAGTCGTTAGCTGCTTACCTATGCATGTGAGGGTCCCCTCTAAAACTTGATAGAGTTTATGACGTTAGATCTATAAAACTTGCGTCCCAGTCGGACTTGTGGCATATGACATTGTGAAACATAGTCACAGCGAAGAGATCCAGAGTCACGTGATCACCACTGCTGCTCTCGGCTTTGTTTTTTGCTGTATTTCGAAGGATGAAAGTATATTGACCTGACAAAAAACATCCATAATCCTGTAGCTCCAGTAGTTCTGACCAAGCCACTCGGCTGGAAAGATGGGTCCCCAGGACACTGAGTTGACCTAGTGATATTGAAAGACTTCTTATCCCACATAATGCAACCTGCGTGATATATGTTTAGACCTGGCGCAGATCCCTATCCTTCATGATGTTGCACTCATTCACCTCTCTCTATACTGTTACAGACAGGGCCAATGCAGAGAACAATTTTCCCTACAGGGTCAAAAAGTTTCCCTTTAACCAAGGGCTGGATGATATCATTTAAGTAAAGTTTGAAGTTATCTTTATTGTCCCACTAGAGGAAATCGGTTTTGCAGCAAACAATTATCTAAAAACAGGCAGACAAAGTTAAATCACAGCATTGCAGATGACAAGAACAAGAGGGTACAGTACGTCACAGAGCTTGTTTCAGTGCAAATATGCTGTATATAAATAGTTTGGAAAAAGTGCTTATATGTTGTTAAGGTGCTTCACAGCCGTTGGGATAAAAGTAGTACCCAACCTTTCAAACTGAAGTACCATGAAAGCATTTTGTGCGTATGCCATACCCGTCCTCATGGAACACATACAAATATGTTTTTACTCATCCATTTGCTCAGAGGTGACCCACTTTCCTTCTACACACATCATGTTTTATTTTCAAGTGGACATAAATAGCATTATACTTTCAGAGTGTTTTGTGCCTGAAGATGATGAAAGCCCGTCTGAGTTGGAGTAAGACTTTTCATTCCCCAACCCGCCTCCAGAACTCCAGATCTGCTCAGAGAAATGTACGCTCATTTGTTCCCTGAAAACAACAAGGTGCACCCACTTCGCTGATGAAATGCCCCCCTCCATCTCTGCTCTCACTCCTTCTATCATGCCTGTGTCCAGTTGCATTAGTCGGGAAATGAGATTCCTCCTAATTAATTAGGTCTCCGAGTGCTAAAGATGAAGATTACATCCCAATGAAGGTTAGAGGTGTCAATCACAGTTTTTAGGCTGAGCATTTCTCCAGATAGATTGAGGCCCTAGGGCATTGTGGGAAGAAGTGTGTTGTTAATGGAGTTTGGTCTGTCTCCTGGCTTTAATTGAGCCTCAGTGAGTATTTGTTTGAGTCAGAACAAGAGAAATGTGTTCCAACAGAAGCTCCAAATACAAGTGTTTCCTTCAAACTATGTGACACATTCAGGTGGTACTCGGGGTCTTCTGCCGCTCTAGATAAATATTTTTATTCAAATTTTATAAAAGTTATGAATTTTATTATCTGATGCAGGTATTCTTCTGGTTTAATTGGAATGGTTTATGTCAGGTATAACAGTTTTTAGTCTTGATCTATTGTAGATTTTAAGTATTTTCAGATTTTTGCCAATGTGGTAAGAAGTGCTTTACATCAATTAAACTAAACAAAACACCTACCTCCACATCCCTTTACATCCTCATCTCAACCTATTACCAAATAACACTATACACCCCCCTTACACTCCATCCTTCCTCAAAAAAACTACCTACTCCAATACCATAATCACTTATTAAAAACATTTATAACTCTAATAAAAAACCAAACCAAACACCAAAACAACATATCTACCAACAACTAACACCCCCAAACAAAATCCCCCCCAAAAACCCAACTCCACACAACAAACAACACCCCCAACCCAACAACACATCACACTTAACACACCCCCACCCAAAACAAATCCCTAACCCAAAAAACCCCACCTACCCCACAAACAAAAAACACCAATACCAAAAAAAAAAAAAAACCCCCCTAACCCAAAACACCAAAACACCCATCCTCCCCTCATCAATTATCAAAAATACCACCCCAACAATACACCTACAAACCAACTAACCATACACCCATTCCCCAATTCTATTATTTACTCCACTCCACCTCTATCCTACAACCAATAAAAACATCCCAATTCCAATCCTTCAAAAACCATCTTCTTCCTCCAAAACACTAACATAACCCCCCTCAAATAATCACCCAATCAAACACCAAAACAACAACAATAATCAAAATATACAACCTCCCTTCATCACAATAACACCCAATTACCCCATAAATCCTCTATAAATTTCACACTATACCCTTTACCTACTACAACCTAACTTCACTTCTACTCATATCAACTATTTTTCTACTAATCTTTATTAATTCACCATAACATTCACACCTTCACCAATTATCAAAAAATATTCACTTACTTTCCATTATACCACCTACCAAAAACCCTTCCAAAAAACAAAAACTACCAACACAACTACAACACAACAAACCCAAACCCCATTACCATATTCCTAATCTAATCCCCAAACTAAACCCAAAAAAACATCTAAAACACCCCCCCCCCCACAACACCCCACACCCCACCCAAAAACCCCATCACCCCACAAAAAAACCAACCAAACCCCAACACAACCCAAAACCCTACCCCACCTTAAAAAACCCCCACCCCCAAACTATACACCCCCCTCACACACCCAATACTCCCTACACACCCAACACCTCAACCTCCACCACCCCACACCCCCCAACCCAACACCACCTAAACCCCCCAACCTAAACACACCCAACCCCCCACAACACCACAACAATACCCCCCCCCTTAACCCAATCCCCACCCCACACCCACAACACACAACAAACACACACACACACCCCCATCCCCCCCCTCCTCTTTTTACTATAAACTTCCCATCCCCTCTACCACCAATCCACTTCCAACCAAATACCCATACAACCCCTACACCATCCCCTAATCCCACCATTCCACCCCCCATACACCACATCTACCACAAACCCCACCCCCCCCCCCCCCATACACCTACCACATTTTCCCACCCACCATCATAAAAAAATATACCTACCCCCCCACCACCCCCCACCTTTCCATTCAATTCCAACAAAACCCACAAACATCAAAACCCCCAATATCCTAATACTTCTTCATAACAAAAAAAAACATTTAATTTTTTCACTTAATCTTTACACCTAACATACAATCCACCTCCCAAACCCCCCCCCCCCATTCCCCCTTCTACTCCCTAACTAACTTACCCAATCTTAATCCCACCCCCCCTATCTTCTCACAATTCTTACCACAAAAACCATTCCCCTCCCCATTTATTACCTACATATCACATTCCCATTCAACTATTTTCAACCATTTTATTTCAACTCAACATCAATCCATTAAATTCCATACACTACCCTAACAACCTTTTACCACAATTCAACCACCCCCTAAAAATAAATAAAAACCCTTTACAAAACCCCTTTAAACCCATCATCCCCCATACCCTCCAAATTTAATACAAATACATCCATATACTAATCAATTACCCTACCCCCCAACCCATCTAACCAAAACACATACAACATAAAATCCAAATAAAATAAAAAACCCTATCCCAACATAAACCCCAACATCCCTACCCCCCCCCACATCTATACCACAACCACCCCACAAACTAATATACCAAAACATAATAAACCTCCCACCATCCAAACAAAACCCAACAAAACCCCAACATACCCACCCACTACCCACCAACCCCAAATACAAAAAAAAACCAACACCAAAAACAAAAAAAACCCACCATATCCAACAACAACACACCCCACAACCCACAACCCCCAACAAACAAACATAATAACCTAACCAACACACAACCAAAAACATCAACCAACCCCACATTCAAAACCTATAAAAAAAAAAAACAACAACCTCCTCCCATCCCCCCTAACACTAACAACACAAATAATTACATAACCCAATACATACAATCCCCCTCCTCCAAAATACCTCCCCATCCCCCAAAAAAAAACCCACATATAAACACATAAATAACTCAAAAAATAACATATAACCCCCCATACCCCAAAACAAAACCCCACCCATACATAACCACCACCTCCCACCCCCTAACACAAAATCCCAAAAAAAACCACACCCCCCCAAACCAACCCCACCAAATCCAACTTACCCCCCCCAACCCACATCCCACCACCTTCCCTCCTCTTCCCTACCCTACCCAACCAATCATCAAACATCAACAACCACAACCAACCCCAACAACTCCCCCACTTCCAACAACCATCTTCCTACTCTCCCCACCCTAACAACCAAAACAAAAAATATCCAAAAAAAAAACCCCCCCCCCCCTAATTACCATCCACCAAATAATCCAAACATTATCCCCCCCCCCCCTCCCCACCCACATAAATCATTCAATATTCTAACCATTAAACTATTAAAAAAAAACAAAACCCAATATACCACCCACAAACCCCCCCCCCCCAAAACCCCATCCCATCCCCTCCCCAATAAACAATACCAAAAACAAAACCCCAACCCCCAAAACACTCCTAACACCTCCACCCCCCCAATAAACCATTCAACCAAATCCCAAAAACCCCCATACCCCCCCCACCCCTCCACATATACTAACACACTTTTAATACATCCCCAAAACAAATCCTCTACACTCTCACCCTAATTCCATATCCATACATCTAATCCACCATTAAAACACTACCTACCTACCCTTTTTCTTATATATATAAAACCAACCCCCACTACCCACCTAACACACTATTTCTTTTATACTCCCCCTTAAACTTACCACCAATTAATCATTAAAAAATACAATCAATAAAAACAAACTCTCACCACCACCCACTTCATCATCCCATCCTATCCCCATCCCCACCCCCCCATTAACCTAACTACCCTACCCCATTCCCCTAATAACTCACTAATCACATCAACCTAACAAAACTCAATAATAAAAAACAATAATAACCAACCTCTCCCCCCCCCACAAACAAACAATACCACTTATCAACACCCCCCAAAAATATCAAAAAACATCCCACAACTCCAACACCAACTCAAAAAATATTCAAACCCCCAAACATAACACAAAATCTACCATCTATCCCCTTCTTCCTCCTACCCAATTCCTCAACAACACATATTACATCCCCATTTCATATACATAAACTACATAATATAACACCACACACAACACACACACACATATAATAACCCTTAAACCAAACAAAACAAAAAACAACCCACTAAAACCCTCATTAAAAACCATATAACAACCACCCAACAAAAAAAAAACAACATCAAACCATACTAATCCCCAAATTTCTTATTAAATAAAAAAAATAAAAAAATTACAAAAATTACACAAAAACACACTCTCCAAATAAACCTACTACTTAAATCACCTAACAATAAACTTTCCCAATAACCTCCAAAACCAAACCATCATTAAAAAACATTCAAAACCAAAACAAAACACATCCACACTCCACACCACCAAAAACAAACAACCAACCCCCAAACCCCCCAAAACCCCATCCACAATTACTCAAAATCAATCCATTTAAAATAAACCAACCACACACACTACACATCTAACAACTAAAATCCCTAAATCTCACCCCAACACAAAATTTAAATTAAAATAATAAATATAACCCCACATACATAACAACTACACCCCTCATTACTCACCACAAATCTAACTCATTTAACATCTAATAATATCAACTCAAACCCCACACTACATCTCACACTTCTCCTACATATTCCAATACATCCAACAAAACACAACCCCCCCCCCCCATCCTATAAATTATTCTATCTACCACTTCCTAAACTCTACATTTCTTAATATTAATTCTTAATCTCTTTACCCATAACTTCTTTAAATTTTATTATTACCACATTTTTTTTTTCCTTATCTCTACTCCCTCATTCTTCACAACTCTTAATATCCAAAATAAAATTTCACTTCATCTTCTTTTCTAAATTTAAACCTTCCCAAAATCCCCCTTTCTTTCTATAATTACCATTTTATAATTTCTCCACCCATTTACTATAATCATTAAACCTTTCCTAAACACAAATTATCCTAAAAAAATTTTTTTTCATCCTCTTTAACTCACCAATCCCCCCCCTATATTAAACCTCTATTAAACTTTTAAATACCTTTTAAAATCCCCCCCCCTATATTCTTTCTCTACCCCTATATAATAAAACTTATAAAATATTCTAATTAAATACCTCTTTTTTTTCCAAAAATATTACCACCCCCACATTAAATAATACAAATTTTTTTTTCTTTATTATCTCAATATTCCCTTAAAAAACTTACAACCAACTTAACTTACCTCTATACTCTATACTTCACTTTAACACCTTTCCCACTCTTCTTTCTTACATAAATATACTCCATAACTTTTAACAACCAATCCACACCCCTACTCATTATTCACCCTTCAATAAAAAAAAAAATATAATTTCCTCCCCCTCTTTCCCCTATACCAACCTAATTCCCCATTTATAATTCCCATACTTCATTAACCTACTTTTATCCCTATTCAATATCTACTTTTTAATTATATCTTCTAAATACTCTTAAAATTTAATAAAAAAATACTTAACAATAATTCATATAATTCCTTACTTATTACCATATAATTAATCTTTCAAAAATCCACCCATTTACAATTAACATCTCAACCCCTTAAATCCAAATATAACTTCTAAATTCTCTTTTAATACTTATCCCCTTAATAACAAAAAAAAAAAAAAAAAAAATTTTATATTACTATACATTATTTTATCAATCTCTCTTTAAATTTCATTTATTCACATTCTAATAACAATTTTTATAAATATCTTCATAAACCCTAATTCAAATAAAATAATTAAAACCATATATCTATATAATAATCTTTTCACCACAAATAATCAAATTAACCATCACCCCCCACTTCTTATATACCCACTCCCTAAACCTTTTCAACACATTCAACTCCAACACTAACACAACCAACTTAAACTCCACTTCTACCTAAACTACTCTCACTTCCTTTAATACTACACCTCATTTTATCTTAATATCTTTTCCAAACACTCTTCTTATATATATCATTTCTCCAACAAAATCAAAAATTTTATCCATTTATACCAATCACACCCACTCCCCCCTATACCTATACCATTCACATCACAATACTCCAACCACACAACTTACCACACCCAAAATCCTAAAATCCCAACTTTAAACAAAAAATAATACTTACTCTTCCAAAAATACCACATAACAAAAAATTATTCATAACAAACACCCAATCAATAAAACAAAACCCACAATAAAACATCTAAATTTTCCCACCCCCCAAAAACTACCAACAATCACACTAATATACCCCCCACTAATAAAAAACTCTCCCAACCCAACAAACATCTACCACAAACCAAAACAAAAAACCCTTTTCCAACCCCTAACCCAATCAATCCACACATAACCCCAACAACCCACAACAAAAACACAAAACACCATACCATCATACCAACCCCATCTATACCAATAAACTAAACCACCTCAACCAACTAACAATAACCACACCCCCCCCACCACAACCCACACAACATCCCCAATATATACCCTACTCCCACCCCCCCAATCCCCAATACTCATGAACCCACCCCACCATAAACATACCCCCAAAACCCCCCACCCATTACATATCCCCCCACCCTCAATAATCATACAACCCCATCATAAACAAAAACAATCCATAATCCACTTCCACCTCTATACCCCATCCCTCCAACTTTCCTAAACACCAACCAAATCTCTTCTTCATATCACTCCTACATTCTTAAACCCTAATCTTATACTACCTACCTAAAAACAAAAAAATCCAACACCCTCTCAATCTCACCCCTCTATAAACCCCCCAATAACCAAAATTTCCCCCCTAATAAACAACCCCTTCATTTCTTTTTATCCTAACCCTTCCATTCATCTCCACTATCCCACAAAAAATATTTACTTTATTCCTTTCCCAACTTCTTCCAACTCTCCCTTTTTCTACCCATCCCCCCACCACTCCCTTTATATCCATTATTTTCATCAATTATTCCCCATAAAATAAAAAAAACAAAATTTTCAACATCCCTATCCACTCATACCCACCAATACCAATTTCCCTAATATCATACCCCTAAAACATCCCCATCATATCCCCCAATCTCTCATTATTCTCTTCTTTTTTTTATTAATTTCCCTATTTTTTCAACAAACACATAAAATATAAAATTCTATTTCACTCGCTACTCTACTTTCTCCTATTCTTTCTTTTATCTATAAACCATAACATTAAATACAACATTCCCCCTCCTAAATCCCCTAATACTCAAATAAATTACCCTCTCAATCTTTTTCATAATATAAATACTCTCTCTATTACCCAACCTATTCAAAAAAATATTACAACATACTTACCTCTAATCTACTCCATATCTTTCTTATACTAAACAAACACCAACCCACCCCCTCAATATATCTACCCCCACCTCAAAACCCCCCTACCACCCAAACCATCAACCCACACATAACAAACAAAAATAAAACAAACACAAACACCAATTAAACCAACCCCCCAATTTCACACCTACACACTTCACACATCACACCCCCCCCCATCAAAAACAACCACTACACAATACAAAATAAACCCACCACCCATACCAAACCCATCCAACACACACCACAACCCATAAAACCATACACAACACCCAATCAATACAAACTATAATAACACACAACAATATCCCTAATCCAAAAAAACCAAAAAACACCCACCTCTAACAAACCACCCCCAAACAAAACATATAAATCTACATACAATCCTACCCTACAACAAAAACATACTATCCTAAAATAAAAACTACACAATCCTACAACACATCTTTTATACAACACCCAAACCTACAAACCTAAAATACTCCATACAACCACCCAAAACTACCCAATTAACTCCACTCCTATCCCCCATCCCATAACTTATCAAAATAAAACCCACCCCACACTAAAAACACCTACAATAACCACAAATCCCCACAACACACCCACACCCCAACCAACTTAATACCCAAAACCCTCACACAAACAATCACATACCAAACTATCCAAACAACCAACCCTCACCAACTACAACCCCCAAAAAATCCCCAATCACCAATACCACACCCACAAACCACAACCAAAAATACCTCACCAAAAACCAAACAAATCACAAAACCAACCATACAACACACTATCACTACTTCCCTACTATATACAAACATACCAAATTCCAATTTTCCCAACACAAAAAAACATCCCACAAAACACCAAATCATAAACCCACCACAAACCAACAACACCATCCAAAACACCAACTAACCACAAAAACCACCCCAAACACCATAACCAACACATAAATCAAACAACAAAAAACCCCAAAAATTTACATATCTTTCCACCAACCAACAACAACACACAATCAAAAAAACCACCTAACAAAAAAAAAATAACAACAACCACCACTCAACCACCCATACCAAACCCCCACTATTACAAAAACAACAACACCCAACAAACCACACTACATACAACCCACCCCCACAAACAAAAAAAACACTAACATCAACAACCCAATCCCCAACTAAAACACCATCCACAACATCACAAACCCAAACAAAAAAACTATAAAAACACACAAACCCACAAACAAACCCCACACAATAAAACCCCACCCACACACAAAAAACAAACCCACCCAAACACCCCCCAAATACCCACAAACACACCACACCCACAACCAACCAACACACACCCCCCCCCAAATAAAAAACACCCCCACCAACACCCCACCACCACTAAACCAAACTTAAACCCCCTTTCCCCCCCCCTCTAACTAACAACCCCACACCAACCCCCCCCCCTCCCCCCCACCCCTAATAAAATCTACCAAATCCCCCAACCAACAACAACATCACAAACCCCAACCCCACAACACCAAACCACCACACCCCACACCACTAACCCTACCCAACACAAATAACACAACAAAAAAAAATACCCCAACATCACCCCCACAAAAAACACAAACCAATCACAAACAAACTCCCTTATAAATAAAACCTAATCACCAAAAAACCAAAAAACCCACTATCCACTAATCCCAAAACATTTCTAAAAAAACCACCATCCCCAACCACTCATCCCCCAACCCACCCCCACCTCAAACAAAAAATAACCTCCCCAATAAAACACACACAAACACACCCCCACCCCACATCTCACCCAAAAAACAACCCCCCACCACCAACAAAACACACCTACACAAAACCCCCTACACCACAAACAATACACACAACCCACCACCAACCCAACTACCTCAACAAACCCCACCCCCCCCCCTTCAATACCCTCCCCCACCACAAAAACTACAACCAAAACCCCCACCACACCACCCCACCAACCCCACCCAACCCCCACCCTATACCACCCACCAACCCCCTACCCCCCCTACAACACACCACCTACAAACCACACACCCCATCCAACCATCAACACCAACTAAACCCAAACAACAACAAAATACCATACACAAACAATAAACACCAACACCCCCAAATAACAAAATAACCCACCCCAAAACCACCCCCCCCCACCACCACACAAACTCCAATCCCAACCCAACCCCCCAACACACACACCCCCCAAAACTCAAACACACAACCCAATCCACCCCCAAAAACAAACATCACCTAACACAACTAACATCATCAACCCCCCATACACACAAACCAACCCCCTCCCACACAACAACAAAACAACCCCCCCACCCATACCTCCAAACCACATACCAACCCAACCAAACCCCACCCCCACCCCCCCCCCCCCACACCCCCCAACCCCCAAACCCCCACCCCACCCAAACCCCCCCCCCACCATCCTTCTAACACTACCATACCACCCCAACTCACAACATCCTTCCCTCCAAAAAACCATTCAAATCCCAATCCTCAACTCTAACCAAAATTTCTCAAAACTAAACTATCATTCAAACCCAAACAAAATAAACCAAAAATACTCATTCAACACTATCACTCACATAAATCACACAATCCACCAACCCATACAACATTATCACTACATACACTCAATTACCACATCTACAAACCCAACAAAAATACACCTACCTCTAATTCTCAACTTCACACCACAAACACCCCAAATTACAAACTACAACAATAACCAAAAACAACATCACTACCTAAATACATACCCCACCATACCTCTTCAATAACTAAACACTAAACTCCCATCATACCCCACCACACTAAAATACCACACCAAACCACTCCCACCAACTATTACCCTATATCAACCACAAACAAACCCATTATTACAAACCCAAACTTAATCTACCTAAAACCCCAAACACCCAAACTACATTACAACAATCACACACCCATCCAAAACCCCCACAACAAACAACAAATAAAATACCCCCCACCCAACAAATCAACACACAATACACAAATTAATCCAACAAACACACTCCCCCCAACCTTAATACACCCAAATACCTATCCACTATACACATAACACTAATCTCATCAAACAATAAATTAACATCCCAAAAAAACTACCAAACACAAAAATCCCACCATCACATCCCTCTACTCTAACACCACTTCTCTTAACTTCAATTCATCTTACACCTTACTTTCCAAATTCTCTACCCCCCACCACCCCTCTACAAACACACTTACCTCACCCCTAACTCTATATCTATCCCCCCCCCCAAACCCCCCTAAATATTTCAACTTATCCCCCCCCCTATACCTCCTTTCCACCTAACCCATCCCCCATATCAAACATCACTATAATCCTATCCATATAAATAAAAACCATCTTCTATAACCTAACAATATTATTTTAACCATCCATCCACCACCCCTCCAACAACCATAACCCCAACTACCAATAATTTTTCCCCAAAAACCCTCCAAAAAACCCCCCATCATTCCTCAATCAAATTTTTCACAAAATCCTATCTTCACTCATAAAAAATCTTCGCTTAAACATACTTCATAAAAACTTTCACTTCCCATAAATCTCCTCTCCCATAAACAAAATATACCTTTCCTTACCCCCATCACTTACTTAAACCTACCAAACTCTTTCACACACACAAAACCACACACCCTATATAATAATTATCATCTACACACACCAAATCCAATCAACTAACAACCCACACCCCACTCCCCCACAAACAACAACCCAAAACAAAACCCCCAACCCCTCCCCACCCCAAACCAACAACAAACCCCCCCCCCCACCCCACCACCCCCCAACCCCCCACTCACCCCACAATCCCCCACAACAAACCCCCCCCAACCCCCACAAACACCAAAAAAAAAACATCCCACCCACACAACACACCAACCCCCCACCAAACCCCCAACAAACCCACCACACAAAAAACCACACCACACCAAACACCAAACCACACCCCAACCTACAAACAAACAAAACCATAAAACCTACCAACCACCTAACACATCCCAACTACCCAACCACAATCAAACACAATCAAAACCACACAAAAAATCATAATCCCCCAATACACAAAAACAACCCACCCCCCCCCAAAAAACAATACCACCCCACCCCCACACCCCCACAACACACCACACAAACCCAATCTACCCCAACCAAACCAAACAAAAACCCCCATCCAACACCAACAAACCCCCCCCCCACCCAACACCCCCACCCCCACCAAAAACCACCCCCCACACAAAACCCCAACCCCCACCCCACACAACCACCCAACCTCCACAAAAAAACCCCTCCACCCACCCCCCCCCACCCCCCCCACCCCCCAAACACCCCACCACCCCCACCCCAACCACCCACACAAAACAAACACAACAACCACCATCCCAAACACAACCACACATCCAAAACCCCTAACACCCCACAAACCCAACATCACCCACCATAACCACTAAACCAACCAACACCTACCCAAACATAACAACCAACCAACAAAATTTCCCACCCACAACCCCCCCAACAAACCAAAACCACACACCAAAAACCACCCAAAACAAAAAAAACAAATCCAAAAACACAACACCCAACAAACAAAAACACAACACACCCCCAATATTAAAAATAAACACACACAACAACCTAACCCACAACCCCTAAATTAAAACCCTACCAACCCCCACAAAACCCACCAAACACACAATAACCCCCCACCAACAAAACAAACCCCCCACAAAACAACCCAACACCCCCCAACACACACACCCCAAACCCACCCAAAACCAAACCCAAAAAAAACCAACCAACACCACTCCACACTACCCCAAACACCCACCCAAAAACACCCTAAACCAACACACACCACACCCACCACCCACACAACTACCCCACACCCAAAAACCACACCCACCAATCACAAAACCCACACACCCCACCAATAATACAACTACCAATCATCAACTCCCAAACCAACAAACACCTCCCCACCACAACAACCCCCAACCATACACCAAAATATCAATTACACCCAATAAAAAACACCCCCCACAATAAAACCATCAACCCCCTTAAACACAACTTACTCCTCATTACATCTCTACTCCTACTAAACACCCACCACTACTAAAAACATTAAACAATCACCTTTCCCCTTCAATTACCCCCCCCACACCAAAAACCACACACCCCATCCCACTTTACCAAAAACCACCCACTTCCATCACCTCCCTCTATATCCTATCCTTTAATCAAAACTCCATTCATCTTTTATCCCCCCTCCCCCTTCTAAATTCTTCCCCCTTTAAAATAAAACAAAAACCCAACAACTTCCACAAACCCCCCATATTCAACCACACACTACCCCCCCCAACCATTCAAACCCCCTTCCATTACATCCTCCTATCAACCCACCCCCCCCACAATTTACCAAACACCTTACCTCCCACCACCACTAAAATTAAAATAACCATCCCCCCATTTTCCACCCCCCACAATATACTCCCCCCCCAATACAATCAAACAATCATAACATAACATCAATTCCATCCTTACCCTATAACCCCCTACCTCACCTACCCTATAAACCACCCCTATTTTAAACCCTCCTATCTCTTCATCTCTATCCTTCAACCTCTCACCCCTAAAACACTCATTCCCAAATTCATAACCCTTACACCCATTCCCTATTTTCATCCAACATAACTCCCCCCTCCCCCTACCTCCCCACTAACAAACATTACCACTAACCCAAAACAATATTCTACCACCTAACTACCACCTAACAAAAATTCTCCTTCCCCCACTACCACACCCCCACCACCAAAAACCCCCCTACCAAACATCTATCCCCCCATAAACAATATCAACCTTATCAATAAAACATATCCTCAAAATCTTATTTCCATATCCTTTAAATATACAATATACATCCCTTCTAACCCACCCAAATCCATCCAACAATCCAACCAAACTACCCAAAAACATAATCACAACATCCCCACCCCCACCTTCCAAATAACACCACACCCCACCAAACCCCTCATCAACACCACAACACACAACAAACACCCCTAAAAACACAACAACCCCCCCTAACACCCCTACCCACACCAACCCCCCCAAACCACCACCACACCCACCCACCCCACCAACCCCCCCCAACACAAAACAACCCCCCAACCCCACACACCCCAACCCAACCCACACAAACACAAACCCAAAACACCATCCCAAACACCCCACACAACCAAAACCCACAAACCATCCAACCACACCCTAACCACCACCACTAACAACCCCCCTACACCAACCCCCCAAATAAACACATCCCACTAAAATCCCAACCATTAAAACAACCAATCCAACCACAAACCCCAAACACCACCAAACTAACCCTATCATACCCAACTTCAACACCTCTCACAACTTCCAATCATCAATAACAACAACCCCTACAAACTTACATAAATCCCATAATAACTCCCTTACCTAAAACACACCCTAAATTCTACATACTTACATAAAAAAAAATAACCAACATCTAATTCCCACATCATACAACAACAACCTTATCCACCTAACCAACAATACCCCCATATCACCCACCTACCATCACTTACAACTCACACTACCAATAACTAAAAAAACTATCAAATCCACAACCAAACTCACCTAAACCACATAACATTAACCCTAACAAACATAACCCCAACCCACCACAACCATATACAATAAATCACAAACCACTCCAACACAACAACCCAACCTAACCACTCAAACACAAAACAATCCCACCCACTACAACCTAACCTAACCAATTACACCATTACAAACACCCATCAAAACCAAACAAATAAAACCCCCCTACCCCACCTCCTACTACATCCATACTCCACCAATACTAATTCATCCCCCTCCCCCTATACTACACCCCCAATATAACCAACTACCTCCCCCATCCATACATCTCTTACTAAAATAATAACATTAACATCTTCCTCTTCACCCCTCTTCTATTACTAAACCCCATTCTTAATCTCCTTCATACTAAACCTAACGCCCAAACTCTATCATCCAAATAAACAATACTCAATATCAATCTCTCCCTAAAACCACCCAAACCAACCCACACCCCTCCTACAACTAACATCAACTTCTCCCCAAAATAACCAACAATCCACCAAACAAAAACCTACACTAATAAATAACCAAACCCTCCCACCCCCACACAACCCACTTTTACCTCCCCCCTAAACAACACATTCAAACACAACAACCCAAAAAACCCCCATCAAAACACTACACCTAACAACCACCCTCCATCCAACAATCAAAAACCAACCATCTTAACTATAACCAAATTTAAATCCATCACTCTAACTAACACAAATCACAACACTCAACCCTCCCTAACAATTCAAATAATAATATCCCCTAACTAAATAATAAATCACACAATATAAAACAAAAATACATACCCAAAAAATACTAATATACCACCACTCACCAAAACATAAAAATACAAACAAAACTCAACTCCAACACACCAAAACACCAACCACAAAAACAATAAAACAACACAAACAACACACAAACCCCTACCAAACCCCAACTCCCCCCAACAATAACCAAACCACCTAACAAACCCCCCCCCAAAAACCACACCCACAACCCCCCCCCCCACCCACAACACAACCATAAAAAATAAAAAACAACAAACACAATCAAAAACAACAACACAACCAAAACCCCCCCCCCCCACCCACACCACCAACCAACCAAACACCCACCAACAAACAACCCCCCACCCACCCCCCCAACCCACCACAAACACAACTAACCCAAAACCACCCACCCCCACAACCCCAACCCCAACAACCCCAAACCAAATATAACATCCAAAACCCACAACAACCAAAACCCAAAAACCTAAAACCACCAAAAACAAAAACCACCACACCCAATCTAACCACCCAAAAACCAACCACCAAACCCAAACATCCCTCCCCACAAAAAACCAACCCCCCCACCTCCCAACTAACTAAACTAAATCCCCCCCACAACCATCCAAAAACATACCACTCATAATTAAATACATACCACCTATAACTTCTAAACTATAAAACCCCATTCTCCTTATCCTACATCATACCAAACCCAACTTCACCACCAAACAAAACCAACATCCCCACCCCACACAACACACACCCATTCCAAACAATCCTCAACCACAACCCACACCCCATCAAATAAACCCCCTTTTAACCATACAAACCCCACAACCCACCAAAACAACCAACATCCCCAACAACTAAACCCTACCCCTTCCACCCCCCATACAAACAACAACACCCCCACAAAACCCACTCACTCTCCCAAAAACACCATTCCCCAATCCCTCCACCAACCTCAACATCTCATTACCAAAACCCCCCCCCATCTCAATATCCATACCCCCAACCACTAACACCACACCAACCAAAACTCCTCTTATCACTAACTTTCAATACTATTTCAAATCTCTCCATACCTCTCACTCACCCCCCCCCCACCAAATCCACCACACTTCAAACACCTTATCCCTTTACAATCCCCCATAAATCCCCTTTTCTTTCATCATTTTACTACCTTCCACTCCACAACTACTCCCAACTAACCCACTTACCACAACCTAACTACCATTATACTAAACTTTCCCAAATACTATTTCCTTCCTTTCTTCCCTAACTTCCCATACACCTCTTCTCTCCTTCTAATCAATTCTTAATCCCCCCCACACACCATCATACCTCCCCCAAAAATATTATAACCAATCCCCAACCTCCCCAACTCTACCATCTACAACCTCTCAATAATACCACCCCCATCCCCCCACCCACACCCCTTCTACACTCTAATCCACAAATACCTCTCCCCCACCAACACTCCACCACCCAACAACCACTAAATCACTTCATCACTTTATCCCACCTCCCCTCTACCCCTTCCTCATTTTCTCCTCTTTCATTCCCCTTACCCCCCTACCCAATTATATCACTCTAATTAAACCTATCTTCAATCACTCCATACCTTCCTTCCTATTCTCTAAATTCTCTTTTTCTCCAAATAAAATTTCTCCCCCCCTATCACCTAATCCTTCCTCATACCTTAACTTACCTACCTCACACCTTTCCTCTTATTATCAAATTTTTCTTCTTATCTTTTATTCATTCCCTACCATACAACTTCATCCTTTCTACCACAACATTTCCCCCATACAATTTCCCAACCTTAAACCTTCCTCCCCTTCTCAAACATTCTCTTCCCCCACATAAACACACCACCACTCCATTTCAAAACCCATCCCCCAAATCACTAACCCTTAACCATATTTTCCCACCATATCCACACATAACCAATATTCAAAATCCTAAAATTACAACCCATCTAAATCCCCCCCACAAACCCCTACTCTCCTAATATCCCAATCACAATCTCTAATCCAAATAACCCTCATAACACCTAAAAAACCTCTCCATACTTCCCTCTACAACCCTTTATCATAATTCACCCCAACCAACATCCTCTATCACTACCAAAAACTACTAACACTATAACTATATAACCAATTACCATTCTTCAATACACTCTTAATACACCCACCTCCTCAATTTTCACCATTTATTCCAAACCTACACAACCCCATTACTCAAAATATACCCACCTCCCATCATACTCAATTTCACCCTATTACCCACTCCATTCACAACATTTTCAAACTATCCCTTTATACCTTCTATACTTTCTTTTATTCTACTCTTATAAACTACCTTTTTCTCACTAATCTTCTTATTTCAATAAATTTCAACACATTCCTAATTTTCTATAATTATTCAACATTCTTTTTCCTTTATCCTCCCCTTCCATAATCCCTTCAACAAAACACAAAATTTCCCACCACTACAACCCAATCACACCACTAACCCACCAACCCATTCCCACACCACACAAACACACTCCCCCCCCCCAACCCAAAAACCCCCAACACAACTAATCCCCCCCCACCCAAACACAAACCCACCCCCCCAACCCCCTAACCCAACCACCCCACAAAAACCAACTACCAAAAAACCCCTCCAATCCACAAACAAATCCACCATCACCAAAACAAACCACCCAAACAATCACACCCCCCACTCACACCACACATCACCCCAACACACCCAACCCACTACCACCACCCCAAACACCCAACCCAAACCACACCAACCCCCCCCCACCCAACCCAACCCCCCACACCCCCAAAAACCATACACAAACCCACCCCCCTTACCCACCCACACCCACCACCCACACCCACACCCAACCCACCCACACCCCACCCCCCACCCAAAAACACTACAAACCACCACTACCTAAACACTTCAAACAAAAACAAAACTACCCCCAACCACCAATCCACCCATACCCACCCCCCAACCCCCCACAACAACCAAAACACACCCCCCCCCCAACAAACCTACAACTTTATCCCCCCACATCACAAAAAAAAAAATACCCCCCACCCCACCCCCCCCTAACCAATCCCCAACCACCCCACCACAACACATCAAAAAACACTTACAACTTCCTTCAATAACAAAATCAAAAACACATTATAATTTCATTTCACTTTTCTTTCACACTAACATACAATCATCCCACCCCCCCCAACCCTCCCCCCTATTACACTTACCCCAAACTAACTTACCCAACAAATAAATCCCCACCAATTTTTCCCATTCTTACACAAAAACCATACCCCTCCCCATATATCTACATACATATCACATTCCCCTTTCAACTAACTACCCCAATTATACCTCAACATCAACAACCCCACTCAATTAACACATACCTACCTAACCACCTTTACCCACAACAACCCACAAAAAAATACCTAAACAAACCAAAACAAACCCCCCTAAACCCCCCCCCATTCCTACCCCTCAAATTTAAAAACACAACATACCCATATACACCCTAATCAATTACCCTACCCAACCAACTCACCAAAAAAACAAACTAAAACTCCATATAACTAACAATCACTCCCCACACATTATCCCAAATCCCTTATACCCCCCCCCACAATATACCACCCACACCCTCTTTCTAATTAATAAAATAAATAACCCCATCCCCACCTCCATCCAACATCAAACAAAATAAAACCCTTACTCCCCACCCCACCAACCACCTACCCCCCATTCAAAAAAATAATAAACACATCAACAATACACTCTATACAACCACAACACCACACACACACACACACAAACAAAATTTTATAAATCAAAACTACAAACACAAACCAAAAACATTACCAACCAAACCCAACATTTAAAACTATAAACCAAAATAACAACCAACCTCCTCCATCCCCCTCCACACACAAAACAAACTACATTACATAACCCATACCATAAATCCCCCTCCTCCAAAATAACCCCATCCCCATCCCCCCCCAAAAAAAAAAAAAATCATCATAATACAACAAAAATCCCCCAAAAAAAAACCCCCCAACAAACACCCCACCCAAACCCCCAAACCCACCACTCCACACCCCATTCCCCCAACATAACAAAAACAACCACCCCCCCCACCCCCCACCCCCACCAATCCCACTAACCCCCCCAACCCACCCACCACACCTACCCACCCAAACCCAACCCAACCCTAACACATCCAAACACAACAACCACACCACCCACCACCACCACCCCCCAAAAACCAACCCAAACCACCCTCACCCCCCAACAAACACACAACACCAAAAACAACACCACCCCCCCCCCACCAACCACAAAAATAAAAAACAAATATCCCCCCCCCACCCCCCAAAATAATCACAAACAACCAAAACTCAACCAAACAACACAACCAACACCCACACAAACACCCCCCCCCCCCCCCCCCCAAACCCCCCATCCCACCCTCCCACAACACACACCAAAACCAACAAACACATACACACTAACACCACCCCCCCCCCAAAAAACAATACACCAAAACCCAAAAACCCCAAACCCCCCCACCCCTCAAAACAACATAACCACAACAAAAAAACACATCCCAACCACACAACAACCACACACTCACCCAAATTACCAACCTAACAACACAACCCATAAAAACACAACCACCCAACTTCATTATATATTAATAAAACAACCCCACTACACAACAAACTTCATTCATAACCTACTCCCCCCCAATCCAACATACCACCCCAAATACAACATTACACAAATACATCAATAAAACAATATCACCACCACCAACTACCTCCACCCATCCCACACCCATCCCCCCCCACCCTAATCATTACAATACCCAATCCCTACTTTACCTCAAAATCACTCACACCAAACCAAAAAACAATACTCACACTCATAAACCAACCTCACCCCCCCCCACAACAAACAAAATCTTATTCACACACCCCAAAATATCAAACACACATCCCACAACTACACAACAACCCCCAACAATATCAAACAAACTAACACAAAAACCAACCCATCTATCCCCTTTTCCTCTCCCAAATTCAACAACAACAATATAAACCCCCTAACCAAAACCCAATAACCTACATAAAAAAACAACAACACACACCCAACCCACAACACAAATAATACCCTTAAAACCCAAAACCACAAACAACACTCCCCCCAAACACCACAAAAAAACCATCATAACACCCCCCAACCCCATAAAAAACACAATCACCATACAAAACCCCAAAAATCAAAATCCAATCAAAAATCAACAAAAAAAACAACACACCAACACAAATAAATCCAAAAAACCCCACAAAAACAAAACCACAAACCTCAACCACCAAACCATTTTAAAACAAACACAACCAAAACAAACAACATCCAATCCACAACCAACCCCATCTACCAACCCCCTAACCAATACCCAATAAACATCTCATACTCCAACACACCCCAAATTTAAAATAAAACCAACAAACCCCACCCCACTACAATTCATCTATATTTATTATCTTAAACTCCAATCTACTCCCTAACACCCAAAAAAAAAATAACATTCATATTTACTATCCCAATTTTAACAACTCCACCCCCCATACATTTTCACCCAAACATATATCTATCCTACTTTAACATCTAATATATATCATCTAAACCCACCTTACTTCACCCCCAAATTCTTCCAACAATATACCAATACACTCCAACAACCCAAACAACACCCCCCCACACCCATTCTATTTTACATATCCTACACTCCTAACACTCTAAACATTTCTTAAATTAATTTCTTAATCTCTTTTCCCCATACTCATATAAACACCTCTTAAATATTCTCCAACTTTTTCTATTTTCAATTATCTCTATTACCCTCATTCTTACAACTTACTTATCAATACTTAAAATTTCACCTTCCCCATCAATTTTTCACATTTAAAACCTTCCCAAAATCCCCCTTTCTTTATCTAAACATTTTATAATTACACACATCTTACAAATTAATCCTTTAAACTTCTAAACACCCCAAATTATATCCCCTAAAAAATAAATTTTTCTTCCTCTAATAAACTCTCATCCAATATTTTCCTCTATTACAACTTTTAAATACTTTTCCCAAATCCTATATCTTCCTCTTACCCTATATAATAAAACCTCATCAAATATTTAATTTAATACTCTTTTTTTCAATATATTAACCACTAAAATAAAAAAATTCATCTTTTTTATTACTCTACTATTCCCCCCCCAATAAAAAAACCTTACAACAACTTAACTTACTCTCTATCACTCAACTTTAAACCCATTTAACTCTTTTCTTCTTCCCTATATATACTTCCATAACTATAACCACAAATCCCACAAAACCTCATTATTCACTATAAATATATAATTTCCTCCCTCTTTTCTAAAACCAATTCCATTTATAATTCTCAATTTATTTACAACAACCTACTTTATCCCCCCCATTATTCTATTCCACTTTTTACTTTATATTCTTCCTACATATTAAAATTTTAATAAACAAAATATTAAAAATAATTCATATATTCCTTACCCCTTTATTCACAACTATAATTATCTTTCATCAATATCACATTTAAACCATACACTCTTAACTTAAATACATATACATTCTAAATTTCTCTTTAATACTTATCCCCCCCCTAATAACTTTTATAATACTAATTCATTACCCCCCCTACTTCTACCAATCTCTCTTTAATTTCCACTTTATATCAAAAATTACTTATAACAATTTTTATAAATTTCTTCTCATTTCCCTACCCTAATTCAAATTAAACATAATCTAAAACCATAATTCTTTAAATACTTCCTTCTTTTACCCACAAATATTATATTTTTCTACCATAACACTTTATAATATATAACACTCCTATACTTCTTCACTCCATCTTACTCCAACCATTAACACCATCCAACTTTAACCTCCACTATTACTAAACTACTACACCCCCATTCCTTTAATTCCCTCTAACCTCATTCTTATTTAAAATCTTTAACACACTCTTCTTTACTACTATCAATTCTCCACAAAATCACACAATTTAATATCATATTTACTATCACACACTTCCTATACCTTTTCAATCCACCAATACCTCCAACCTAACACCACTTACCCCACAACCAAAAATCCAAAATCCCCACCTTTATTAAAAAAAATCCCTTACCTCTTATCCAAAATATTCCTACATCACAAAAAATATTCCATAACCATACACCCAATAACAAATAAAATCCCCAAAAAACCAATAATATAACCACCCCCCAACAATAAATACAAAACCAATCAACAAACCCCCACACTAAAAAAACACCCCCCCTACCACAAACATCATATCCACAAACCAAACCCCCTTCCTCCCCATCTACCAACATACAATCCCACCAACAAACAACCCACAACAAATCACATAACCATCACCATTATACCAACCCATTCCTATACCACATCCACCAATAAAACCACCTACACCACCCATAAATATAACCCCATACCCCTACAAACCTAACACAACATCCCCCTATTAAAATTCCCCCCATTAACTCACCCCAATACTATAAACCCTCCCACATCCAAACCAACCCCCCATCCCACCCATTAATTATTCCACCCACCCACAATTCATAACACCCCATCAATCAACCAAACACACTCCTAATCCCCACTCCCCCACTCTATAACCCCACTCTCAACCATCCAAAACAAACCAAATCTTCTTTCATCTTCACTCTCATATATAACTATTACCTAAACCAACCTACCCTAAAAAACAAACACTAAAACATCTCAATTCAACCCCTAATCCACCCCAATAAACCAAAAATTAAAATACACAACCCCCCTCTCATTTATTTATCTACTTCCCTCCTTCAATCTCCAAATTCCACAAACAACTATTAACTTTTACCTTCACTTCTTCCACTCTTCTTTTTCCTCCCCATCCCACAACCTCCCTTATATCCATTTTATTCCTCAATATTCCCACAAAAAAAATAAAAAAATAACTTCAACCACTCCTATCCACAATCAATCCCACAATAAATTTCCCCCCCTTAATATCCAATACATAAACACAACCCATCAAATCCCAAACTCTTCTCATTAATCTTTCCCTTTTATATCTTATTTCCCTCATATTTCAAAAAAATTAAAAATTTACTATTCTAATCTCATTTCCATAATCTCCAAACTAATCCACCCAATAACCTATCTAAAAAAAATAAAATAAAAACAACCAAAAACCAAATTCTACAAAATACCCCCCCCATATCTCAAAACAATAACAACATTTCTATATCATCAAATAAATACTACTCTTATTACACTCCTCTTCACAAAATCATTTCAAACCCTCATATACCTCTCTCCATACTATAACCATCACTTTTCAAAAATATAACAACCAACCACTTATTAAACATCCAACAAATCCCCCCAAACCATCCCAAAACCTAATACATCTAAACAACCATATAACCTAAACTAAACAACACATAATCAAAACCACCCAAATACCACCAATACTCACATAAACAACACCACCCCCCCCCCCCCCAAAAACCCACCTAACAAAACAAAATTATTCCCACCACCAAACCAAACCCTCATACCACAACTACCCACACCCACAATTCCCTTAACATCACAAACCTACCTATCTTAACAAACCTTAAATCACTCAAAAATTCCCCTAATCCACCAATAAAACACCACACACACATCTCATTAATCACCCCCCCAATCATATCTCTCATTAATCATCTTAAACTCCTACCCTAAATAAAATCAATACATTACATATAAACTACATCTATACCCCACCAACCATAAATCCCCTTTAAAATAACACCTAAATACCATCATAAAAAACCCTCCTTACCCAACCCTCCCACACCTACCCCCAATTCATCCTCTCCTCTCCATCCCCCAACATCTTATATAAAAAAACCACCCCCCCAACAACCTACATAACACCTAAATAACACAATCCTCAACAACCCAAACCCCAACCCTAATTTTCCATTATCCTCTAACAAAATCTTCTCATCATTTCAAAAATCTTACAACCCTCACCAATTCCCACTTATTTCCCCCAAACAATAAATCCTAATCCCCTCTATCCCCTAACATACCTACAATCCATATCAAATAAACATACAAATCTATAAACCACTTACAAACTAACTATCATTATTCTACCTACCTCTAAATATTTCCCTTATTCCTACCTTTTCCTTCAAAAAAAACCCATATATTTCCAAACATAAACCTCCAACCCCCATATACCTCCATAAAACTCTTCCCCACAATAAACCCTCCCATATAAAAAACTCCAAACATCACCATAATAATACTATAATAAAAATTCCCAACATCTTTAAATCTATACACACACTACAAAAACAAAAACAAACAAACACCCACATTACACAACATAAAACCCCACACCCCCATCCAATACCTACAAAATCAACAATCATCACCCAAAACCCCACACACAAAAACCCCCCAAAATACATAACCCCAATCAATCCCATACCCAACCAAAAACCACTAAACATAACCCTTCACCAACAAAAAACCATTCCTCCACTCTCTAACCCACCAACATAACAAACAATAAAAATACAAACAAACCCTATCATACACACACTAAAAACCCCCACAACCCCACAAAAAAACCACAACACCAAACCA